GACTGGCAGTGTTGTTAAATAGCCGCAGCAGATGTAGCGTCTGCCACTGTGCTGTTGATTCACTTCACTTCATCCTGCACAAAGGCCGCCTGCTGATTGGCCGCCGCCGGTGGCCTCCGCCGAGCCGGGGGCGCGATCTGGCGGCAGGCCGGGTGGAAATAGCGAAATCGAACCCAGGAAAATCATCAGAATCATCATCAAACCTCGAAGATTCTGAAGACTGCTGAAGAACCACCCGCCTATCAAATCCCACTCTAATCCGACCATAGGGCCACTTTTGGAGTTGCCTGTCTCACAATTTCAGTTTCGCTTTTCGGTCGATTAGCCGTCGCTACCGAGAAACTGACATTGGTTTTCTCCGCCACCTTCTCTCTTTTTTCTTTTTCACCTACCGCTGATGATGAAGATAAATTGTTTTCTGCCATTATCGATCCAATTATGTTAAACAGGCCGAAGCACGCTCAAGTACAGGTTCAGGCTCTTAAGTGATCTTGTCGTCGTCGTCGTCGTCCTCGTCGAGTCTTTGTACGCGTGAATAATTAATGGACGCGGCCTACATGTGTCAATCGATGAGAGAGAAAGAGAAAAAGACTGAAGAGAAGCGCTCATTGAGAGAAGCGCGCAACTACTTCCCTTCGCGTACTACAGCTGCCTAGTTACCGCCGAAATGAAAGAAAAGCAGAATCGGTCCGTTGGTGCGTGATGGTCCGTGGAAAGCTTCCTGGAAATCAACACAGTCCTCCTCATCGTAGTCACAAACTGAAAGACAACAAAAGAGTTGTACCTGGAAATTAAAAGTAGCAGTGACGGTGAAAGGAAAAGAAAGAAAAAGAATAGGAAAAGTTGCCCTGCTACTTTAGAGTCAGAATTTATAATAATTAATTAATTAAAAGAGGAGGAGGAGGAGGAGGAGAAGACAAGTACAATAAAAGTAGAAGAATAGAGTGAGAAGAAGAAGAAGAAGAGACAGAACGATCGAAGACAGACACTGCTGTTACAATGTCAGAAGAGTTCAGTGCAGCAGTTTGGAGGGTAGAACAACACACTCGTAGAGCTTAGTACATTTGCAGGATTGGACTTCATCATCATCAATTGCTGTGGAATCGTTGGTTGGTTGGTATGATATATTAGAATTATTGAATCTGGTCAGGCTCTAGTGTTGTGGTAGTGTGCTGGATGCGTGCTCAATCGCCACCACCGCCTGATCACTGGCTACTGGCGTAGCGTTGAGTCCAATCGCGAGCTAAAGTATAAGAGGAAAGTTATGTTTAATGTTTTANCACTGGCCACTGGCGTAGCGTTGAGTCCAATCGCGAGCTAAAGTATAAGAGGAAAGTGATGTTTAATGTTTTGAGCGTTCTTTTTGAGCATTAAAAAGACGCTCACCTGTTCTAATTGCCTCCGCCTCGTTCACCTTCCACTGCTCGGCAACGTCGTTGGCCAGTGGATCGTCGGGATTGGGCGCCGAAAGGAGCGCCTGGATTGACAGCAGAACAGTGCGAATTTGCAGCGCCGGACTCCACTTGTCTAGAAGGGAAAAGTGGAAGAGAATGTTTAGTACGGGAAAAACAAGTTAACAAAGCAAACATTACCTTTGAGAATGTCGAGGCAGATTCTGCCGAGCCTAAAGCAAAGCAAAGTTGTCAGTTTTGAAATGTCATTGAACAAACACACACCACACTCACTTGTCAATGTTGGGATGGTAGATTTTAGTCATGAATCGCACTTTGGGGGCTGACATGGGATACTCCTCGGGGAGGAAGAGCTNTTGACAGCAGAACAGTGCGAATTTGCAGCGCCGGACTCCACTTGTCTAGAAGGGAAAAGTGGAAGAGAATGTTTAGTACGGGAAAAACAAGTTAACAAAGCAAACATTACCTTTGAGAATGTCGAGGCAGATTCTGCCGAGCCTAAAGCAAAGCAAAGTTGTCAGTTTTGAAATGTCATTGAACAAACACACACCACACTCACTTGTCAATGTTGGGATGGTAGATTTTAGTCATGAATCGCACTTTGGGGGCTGACATGGGATACTCCTCGGGGAGGAAGAGCTCCAGCTTGAAGACGCCGCCTTCAAAGGGAGACTGAGAAGGGGTGAAAGGGAGAAAGTTGAGAAGATTGGCAAACAAGTCAATAAAGAGCTTTATCGCTTGCAACTTACGCCTTCTGGTCCGGCGACGACGACGTGAAAGTAGCGGGCATTGCTCTCGTCGGGCACCGCCGAGATGCCCGGCACCGGCTCCGCCATCAGGCGTTGTGTCTCCTTTGGGGAGGAACAGTTTTAGAAATGGAAAATGTCAAATCATCCTCAAAAAGCCTCGCCTTACCTTGATGATTCTTCGCGGCAAGCCTGCCATTTTCTGTTTCTTTTGCTGTAGCTCAGAGAGCGCTGTGTGGTCAGCGGGTGTGTTTCCCTTTGAAGAGAGTTAGAAGGAGGAGATCAAAGATCAAAGTTTCTGATGATATCGTCGTCGTCGTCGTCGAGTTGTTTGTTTTGTTGCACCTTCTCTCTCTCCCTCTTCACCACCAAAACAAACACACAGAGGCAGACAGAGGAGACTCTGCGCGTTTTCGGTACGGCTGCCGCTGGTTTGGAAGTTGGCGACACGACCAGATTTGGATCGCAGGAAAAGAAAGAAAGACAGTCAGAGAAAGAGAATGCGTTTCTCACTTTCAATCTCTCTGTCTCTGCCAGTTTTCTCTTTCTTTGTACTGTTTGTGTGTGTCTTCGTCTTCTTCTTCTTCATCGGCTTGTGCTGTAGCGACGACGAGGGTAGCGGCAGCGGCGCTACTGCGGAGGAGCAGCACCGGCTACAGTGCGCCCGGCCACGCTGTAGACTGGGCGGCGCTCGCAAAGGACGGACACCGGCTGACGCTTGAAACGACGGATTTGGGTAAATCTATGAAATAGAACCCGATTCTAAAATTTTAAAAGAACCTCAAAAACATTCCAAGAAGAGTAACATCGATGTTCCTGTGTTGTGCTTTACATTTTTATTGCAGCCTTTAGATAGAAAAATATAAAGTGATGATGCTGACGAGCTTCAGTTCTTCCACTTGATGGTGGACGTCCGTAGGACGTTGTCAATGTACCGCTGTACGTAGTCCACATCCTGACTGGTCTGAATGGCAGCTCGTAGCTCAGAGAGTCGCTTTCGGTCTTTTAGTTTAATGAGAATCTAGAAAAAAATGGTAAATAGAAACACTTAGCACATCTTTCAAAGCTCCCTCCCGCTTACATCAGCAGCAAACTTGACCATGAGCAGCTCCTTGGCGAGGGCCAGCCGCCGCTCGGTGTCCTCAATCAGCTCCAGGTACTTCTCCAGCATCTCCGGCGGGGCGGAGTGGCGGTAGAGCACGCCGACGATGTCCTCGATGGGAATGCAGTTCTTGATCTTGCGACTGCCTAGCCAGGACTAAACAGAGAGAAATTGAATAAAAATATAAATAGAACACAAAACCCCTTCCTATCTTACCTTGTACTCAAAGAGCGTGTCAATCTCCGGCCACATGGCGCTCTTGGAGAGCGCCTGCAGCGCCGTCCACAGAAACTGGCGCTCCGAGAGGCCGTACCGCTTGCGCAGGTACACCGGACTGGCGAAGTTGTTGTCCGCCAGCAGGTAGTGGTAGCGGCAGCAGTAGTGCAGCGTCTCCAGCACCGACAGGCCAATCAGCGGCGGCCGCGGGAAGAGGACAAAGAGATTTGAGGAGGAGGAGGAGGA